AGCTACAATGATCTTCTTGAGAGAAAAGTATGACTTGACCGCGCGACGGCTAAACTAACAAATATCCACTGGCCATGCAGTTAGTTAATTCATACATAGTAATGTTCACAAAGAAGAAAGTCACACTCCGTAAGCTTTTTACTATACTATGTCCCGTAAAAGCTGGATTTTTGAAACTCTATGCAAATCACCAACAGATCTCGATACTATTGTTGAACAATATGAATTAACGAAATTTCGGACGGAATATACATCAGTTGGTGTTAAATATACATATCGATGTGCGTTGTACAAAAGATTCCCATCGTGCGCCATGCAACTACAAGCAAAACAATTGAGCATGACCGATGTCGATACATTTGAAATATCTAAATTCGGTAAACGCGATCATGAAAAACGAGCGTTGACAACGCGCGCTCCATCACCTATTCGAGACGATGTCAAAACGTACGTTGCTGCCGGTCTCTCTGAAACACAAATTCGACGTGCAGTTACAATTGATCACCCTCAATGGGCTGCACAAAAACAAGTGAGAAGTCTGGTTGGTTATTATCGCACAAAGAATCATCCGTCGTCATTTTCATTGAGTGATTTGCGTGATTGGTGTATAGAACGCTCACAGACACCAGCGCATACACCAACAGAGAGTGATACGCCATTTGTGCTATATTCTATATGGCATACACAAATTACCAAATGATCGTTTACCACTTGGAAAAAAACCCACAGGACGACCAAAAAAACAAGTCTTGCTCTATTATTTTGATGAACACAGATTGCTATTTTTTGTAAATACTCAGGCTTACTCAGATGTAAACATATAAGTTTTGCATGATAGTCGAATTTCTATCAATCATTGAGAGAGGCTTAAAGAATATGGCGAGAATAACCTGGTTACTGATTAATTAATTAATCCGTTCTCTTTTCAATTATTTTATTTCACAATTCAAAATCGTTCTCTTTTCAACGAAAAAACCGTGTTCTTTCCCATTATATATTTTCATAAATGAAAACCGTTCTCTTTTAATTACAAATTTTGACGTAATTATCAAACCGTTCTCCATTCTATGCAAATTCCGTTCTCTTTTCATTTCTTGTCCAAATATTTTATGAGATTACAAATAAAAAGAACAATTTCTTAATTAATACTAAACTACTAATCAATGCTAAATATTTCCCTATCTCATTCTATTTGTTTTGACTTAAAATCTTGATTTTATCGATGAGAAAAGATGTACGAGCAATTATGTTTCTTAGAGAAAAGTACAAAAACGGCACAGACGATATTTTCATGTAAAAATTAAGTTCATCACTGTTTCAGCTTCATTTGAACTTTGAGGCGTTTTTATAAAAGAAACTAAATTTAGAATAAAATTTGTTGTATCTATTATTCGATGTTATCGTCTAGATATACAAAAGAGAAAACACGACAAAATGTGCGCGTGGAAAGGAGAAAAGACCTCGTGGATAATTTGGGTTGCTGCAACCTCAAAATTCGTACACATGCACAGGCACGTACTCCTACCTACATGTACCTACCCATACCTACACCTACCTACCCATACCCACCATACCTACCACACCAACTATAGCTCCCCTGCCTCCCTACCTATCACACCTGCCCAACCTACCATACCTACACGTACCTACCCTACATACCATACCTACTCTACCGACAAGTACCTACCCATACCTCCCCTACCTACCATACCTACACGTAACGACCCTACATACCATACCAAACACACCTACCCTACCGACACGTACCTACCATACCTGCTATACCTCCCCTACCCACCATGAACCCAATTGAAATGTTGTTTGGTTACTCACTCTCATGCTGCCACTCCCCTCTCTCCCTGTCCGTACAGGTCTGCATTTTCATCCTCAGTTTGGTAAGCAGGATCAGTATGTATGGGTAGGTATGGTACGCACGAGTAGGTACGAGAAGGTATGGGTAGGTATGATAGGTACGAGTATGTATGGTAGGTATCTAAATTCTGGGTTGCACCAACGTTATAAAATTTGAGATTGCGGCAACGCCAAACTATCCATCCAATGGAAGAAAAGAAAAAAGTAACAGAACAGGAAAAATGCCTAAATTTACTATGAGAAATCGCAAAGACCGCGGCGACCCTACCAGAAACTCAAAATAGAATTACAAGAAGCCCACTGTCGGATTTGCCGTGAAATTCTGCATATATTGCCTTAGTTTCAACTAATTTGAGGCAGCGCGCCAACGTACCTATTTTTCTAATGAATCATGTGAAAGGCGATTATGGTCAAGCCTTGGAATATCATTTGAGACCGTTGAAAATGATAGAAACCTGTCTTGCTTCTGACCATGATAGTAGTGCTGGAAGTCCGATGAATATTGTGCGTCTTTCTTATGTGAAAGATGGTTATGATTAAGCCTTGGAATATTATTTCAGAGCGTTGAAAATGAAAGAACTTTGTCTTCCTCCTACCCATGGCAGTACACCTGGAAGTCTCACAAATATCGGGTGTATTTATCATGTAAAAAGTGATTATGATCAACCGGTGGAATATTATTTGACAGCGTTGAGAACGAAGAAATCTGTCTTCCTCCTAACCATGGCAGTACAGCTGGAAGCCTCACAAATATTTGCCTTGTTAATAATGTGAAAGGTGATTATAGTCAAGCCCTGGAATAGCATTCGAGAGCATTGGAAATGATAGAAATCTGTCTTCCTCCTGGCCATGACAGTACAGCTGAAGGTATCACAAATGTTGCCCTATTTATCATGAGAAGGGTGATTATCATCAAGCCTTGGAATATCGTCTGAGAGCGGCGAAAATGAAAGAAATTTGTGTTTTCTCCTAACCATGACAGTACGGCTGGAAAAACAGATTTCTTTCATTTTCAACGCTCTCAAATGATATTCTGAGGCTTGATCATAATGATAAATACAGCCAATATTTGTGACACTTCGAGGTGTACTGCCATGGTTAGGAGAAGACAGATTTGTTTCATTTTCAACCCTCCCGAATGGTATCGCAAGGCTTGATCATAATTACCTTTTACATGATAAAGAAGACCAATGTTTGTGAGACTTCCAGGCGCATGCCATGGTTAGCGCTCAGAAATGCGTTAAACATGTTCGAAATCTGTCTTCCTACTAACCATGGCAGTACAGCTGGAAGTCTCACAAATATTGACCTTGTCTATTTTCCGAAGGGTGATTATGGTCAGGCCTTCGAATATCATTTGAGAGCGTGGAAAATGAAAGAAATCTGTCTTCCTCCTAGGCTGTGGGTCTGACAAATAGTATCGTTGTTTATCATGTGGAAGATGATTATGATCAAGCCTTGGAATATCATTGGAGAGCGTCGAAAATGAGAGAAATCTGTTTTCCTGCTAACCATGGAAGCAGTACAGTTGAAGTCTCGCAAATATTGGCTGTATATGTAATATGGGCTTGTTTGTCATGTGAAAGGTGATTGTGATCGAGCCTTGGAATGTCACTTGATTGACAACTTTAAGTGTCACTTAACGTCACTGTCACTTATAAGTGTGTGCACCATTTTAGGAGGTCGTTTCCTCCTTGAGTTACGGCCTCTCTTTGCTGCACTTCAACAAATGTTTGAAAATATACGAAGAATGTTGTGATCATTCAAAAATTGCAGAGATGCATGTGAATATTGCAGAGGTCGGGGACAAATAGAAGACTATGATTTAGGCACTATAAGGAAGCTTTAGCATTACTGGAAAAGTTGAATAAGAAAGGAGTAGTTGCCAGGTTGCACAACCGCATCGGATAGTATTATTATATGAAAGGCAGGTTTGATTTGGCTACTGAATATTGCACTATACCGATGGAAATATATGAGGAATGTTCATTATATGACGATACAGAATATGCAAATGTTCTTAGCAATTTAGGGTATCGAGCTAGCAAAAAGCCTAAAAGGATATCTGCTGACGGCTCTTGAGGACCTCTAGAAAACCAGTTTTTCAACAACTCTAAAAAATAATCAAAACCTTTCTTTTAATAAGGTATAATTGTAGCCGGCAAATTTCTGATTAAAATGAGACATGTTCCACCTCTACACGACCTTTCTTTGCAAAGTTATAGAATTTACAATGATAGCCCTTCATATTCATTCCCAGTGAAAAAAAATGAGCGTGATTCCGCAAGTTCCTGCGGGAACATTTTTTTTCGTCGGGAGTTTCAATTTTTCTGCGGAAAATGTTCAGTTTTTTTCAGTCGGAAGCGCTGATTCACGACGAAGTGTTTTTTCTGAACGTATGCAGACTTAGTTTTCTGTAGAAAACTCTGTTTTTCTGTGGAAATTTTCATGCAGGATTCTGCCGAATATATTTTCAGCAGAACCCAGTGAAAAAAAATGAGCGTGATTCCGCAAGTTCCTGTGGGAAACTATTTATGCGTTGGAAATTTCCATTTTTCGGCGGGAAACAGTAATTCACTCCGAAACTTTTTTCCGAACAATGCAAAATTTTTTTTTGTGCCAAAAAACTAGTATTCTGTAGAAGTTTTCATTCGGAGTTCTGCGGGCTACTTTTTCTGCAGAAGTCTTCTTTGTTCTGCTTAGTTTTTGTTCATTTTTATATAGAAATGGCGCGTCGCGATTGTACTCCCCAGTGAAAAAAAACGCCTGATTCTCAAGATCCTTTTTTCGTTGGGAATTTCAATCGGCGGGAACCATTAATTCAGGGCGAAATTTTTTTCAAACTTCGCAGAATTTTTTTCTGCTGAAAAATCTATTCTTCGATCAAACTTTCCGTTCAGGATTCTGCGAGATATTTTTTCGGCAGAGATATATCCCAAAGAATGCAAGTGCTTACTCTACACTATTTGCTAAATAGTATTTGCAATAATATTTCATCTAGCAGGATCACTTGGATCAGAAAAACAGACCGATTTGTGAGATTTTTAGAAGAGCAAGCAACTATATTAGAGTCAAGCTTGCGGTCGTCACGTATACTGCCATCTTTACGAAAAGGAATGCAGTTAACAATCAAATTTGTTTGTCGATTAATATTAATTAGTTCCTGTAAATTTTTTCCAAATTCTTGTAAATCTTAATCAACTAATAGATTAAAAAATATTCGGGAAAATTGTCAAGGTTTATTCCAAAACAATACTGACGGAAGAAAATACTAATAGAATTTTGAGCGCTAATTGAAATGAGCAAAATGCTGCTTTATCTTGAAAAACTAGTAATCGACTAATTCTTGATAGTAATCATTCGGTTTGTTGAAATAACCGTCTGTGGTGGGTTCATCAGGTGGTAATTTGGGATTCTGACCATCTTGTAATTTAAACGGCGAATAACCAGTTGTGAAATGTTGTCCGTATTATATGCGAATATCACAGAAGACAAATAAGAATCCAAATTACTGGATTCTTCATCCTGAAGTTTGGGCAACTGTAGGACAAATGTAGCGTTGAATCGCTCTCCCATATCGTTGGTTTGAGGATGATACGAGGTTGAATAAATATGATTGTATCCCAAAAGTTGAGTCAAAGCAACATTAGCTGATTCTGGAAGTGCAAACCACAATCTGACGAAATTGTTGTTGGAATACCATACTTGCAAATATATTCATTGAAAATCACTTGTGCTCTGGTCTGTGCTGTACAATCGAATTGACCTTTCTGTCTTCTGTAATTATGTTGTTTGCAAATAATGCATGAATTCACATAATCTTCAAAAATTGTTTTTGGTATAACAGGACACCAATATTTGAATTTCATTTAAAATATGAACGTTGAGCTGAGAAGCGTGCTGCTGTTGGATGATCATGATAGGTATGGAGTGCAGATTGTATCATTGAACTTGGTAAATAAATTAATTTTGATTTTACACCGCCCCGAGTTCTATGTAATAATTTATACAAAATTCCATCTTGATGAACGTACACAGAGGTTTATTTGGTTCTGATTCAATCTCTTTAATCTTGCGCTGAATTACTAGATCTTTATTCCGGTGTGCTTTTGATTGTGTAATGTCAAAATGATCGATTGATGGTGTTGTTTTCTTATCATCGATATCTAAATTTGAATCATTTATTGTGGTCGGTTGAACTGTTAGTGTTTACTAAAATTTTGCTGCTGATCGTGTTGTGTCCGCGACCACTGTACTGGTCTGGCCATCAATTTCCAATCCATAAATCTGTGTTCATTAATTCATCTTCTTCTTGAATTTGGTTTCTTGAAAAATAATCTGACAAACAATTATGTCGACCTTTGATATGAATAACTTGTTGTATATTCTTGTAATAACAACGACATCCGATCTACTCTTTTGTTTTTAACATCTTTTTTCATCATACGGCATAGCAGGCAGTGATCTGTATAAGCTATAATTGGTCGTCCGCTGATACGTTCTCATTCGTTCGAACCATTGCCATATTGCCAATGCTTTCTTTTCGATTATATCATAATTTTGCTCCACTTCTGTTATCACTTGTGAATGATAATATATATTGTATACTTGGTCATCTATTTCCTGGCGGAGTATTCCACTAATTCCTTTATTTGATGCATCGGTGCTCAGGATCAATGGGTATTTATCATTTGGAAATTGTAATAACAATGGTGCAGCTGTTAATTTTTCCTTCAAATCATAAAATGAATTTGATTGTTGCTCTTGCCATTTAAATTTGTAACGATTTTTCTTTGTAAGGTTGGTAACAGCATGAATCGGCGCTGCAATTTCTGCGAATTTGGGTATAAACTTACGATACCATGCAAGCGCACCTAAAAAATGATTAGTTTCTTTCAGTGTTCTCGGTTCTTTTAATCTTAAAATTGCATTAATTTTGTCATTGAGGGGTGTAATTGTATGTCCCAAATAATCTATTTTTGGCTGTTCGGTCGTACATTTTGTGGATTTAATTTCAAATTGTTTTGCAGTAAACACTTCAATACTTGATATAAATGTTGGACAAGCTCTTCGATTGATCCTGAAAACACGATAATATCGTCTAAATACACTTGACAATATGGGCGACATGTTTGTAATACTGTTGACATTACTCATTGAATTTCAACGGAGTTTACCTATTCTGAAGTGCATTTGTGTCTCTATAGCAGATGTACTTCTCGCGCAGTCCACATACCATCACTGGTCACTCTTGTTATGCAATTGCTACAAGTATTGCAGAACACACATAATGAAAAATATCAGATAGAATAATTGCTGTGTGCCGCTTTCTATAACTTTCTACTTTTAATGAATATTTTTCTTTTTTGTCCCTTTGTTCTATACACTACAGTGCAGTGTTTAGTCTTCGTTAGTCGTTTTTGGTCTCGTCGTCGGACGACGATGCTTGTTCCGTAATACTGTAGACTTCCAGTGACGGGAACAAAAATTAAAATATCAAAATCTACTTACGAGGAAAGGACACCAACTGTCCAATCGCTTTTGGCTTAAAACCTAGTGGACAATAGGTAATCGAGTATGCTGAATCCGAATATGATAATGGTTTTTGCCGCTAGATCTCTAGAGACCCGGTTTGTGGAAAACAAGTTTTTCAGAAACTCTAAAAGCTAACCAAAACATTTCTTAATGAGTTATGATTGTAGCCCGCAAATTTCTGATTAAAATGAGAGATCTCCCAGCTCTACATGACCTTTCTTTGCAAAGTTATAGAATTTACAAGAAAAGCCCTAAATTGATTTCGTCTTATTTCTGTAGCTTTCAGCTGACAAAAAACGATTTATGGCTTTTCTTGTAAATTCTATAACTTTGCAAAGAAAGGTCATGTAGAGCTGGGAGATGTCTCATTTTAATCAGAAATTTACGGGCTACAATCATAACTCATTAAAAAATGTTTTGGTTAGCTTTTAGAGTTTCTGAAAAACTGGTTTTCCAGAAATCGGGTCTCTAGAGATCTAGCGGCAAAAACCATTATCATATTTGGATTCAGCATACTCGATTACCTATTGTCCACCAGGTTTTAAGCCAAAATCGATTGGACAGTTGGTGTCCTTTCCTCGTTAGACTCATTTTTAAATAACCCGTAGAGCATAGCAAAACGTAAACTTAAATGAATCATCAGTTGTAGTACAGAACCGGATCCGAGACTGACTGTCCTGAAATCTAAAAATGTCCATCTTTCCAATCGCTTCAGTGGATAATATGACAATGTTAGAATTTTTTGATTGTAAAAGAACTATAACCGATAAAATAGCATTTTGTCAAAATCTTAGTTTGTTACAGCTCAATGGTCCGAAAGTTGAGTGCCCTAATCAACATATTGATTGGTATCTTGGCAATTTTTTTGGTCTTTAGTAACCTGAATTCGACGTGAAATGCAAAAATAGGGAAATATCGCTATCAGCGTTAAAAACTGCGCTGAATGGAGAGCCTCTCAAATTTTTTGCGAAACTTCGATTTTTTGAATTTTTTTGAATTTTGAGCATTTTTTGTCAAACATGCGAATTTTTTTTTAACTTGAGAGTTTATGGATTCGAACCAGTTTTTGACGCGGATTTTCAATTTCGATTCCTTTTCCATTTTCAAATCGAATTCAAGCAAAGGAGGCCCAAAAACTGGAGAAAGTTTAAAAATTTGCTACGGTTGTTCTGAACATTTCATACTTTTACGCATTTTTTCTGAATAACATGTCGATGCGTTGAAGAGAGAGGAGAAGGATGAATGGGTTTTATTTTTCAGAACAATTACTGTTTCCGACCGAAGATGGCTCCCGCTTGAGCGAGTGATGTTCGAGAAAACTCGAAGTTTTGGGGAAAAAGCTTTTCTAGCTACGCCAGCATGACTTAAAAACTTAGAAATTCAGACATTATGAAAGAATTTCTGAGCCTCTAGGCAGGAACAACAGACAATTTCCTCCAAAATGAGGCCTCACCACGTCATTTCTAGGCTAAGAGATTACGTTTCTAAAATTGGTTGCGTTTTCAGCGTTAATGTTCTGTAGAAACGCTGGGAATACATCCAGTTTTTGACACACTATATCTCAGTCTAGGAATATCGTCGTAGAGTTGTCAGATAGGTCCTATCTTGAGAAAAAAATTGTCTGTTCTGTCTGCCCCCAGGCAAACATTTTTTTGTGACCTAACGCACGAATAAACGCATTAGTTGATGAATATGACGCGCCTTGACGCGTTTAAGCAGTCAATGAACGCGTTTCTCGAAGCAGAACGTATGCAAACGCAACAAATATTAACGCAAAGTAACGTGTTTGCGGAAGAGAACAGCTAGAAAACGCGGCAGATATGAAAGTGTTTTAACGCGTTTAGAGGAAAATTCTCATGACAAAATAACGCGTTCGCAATCGTTAGCCTTTGCGCGTACATACACGTCAGAAGTGATTGAGTCGAAACGCGTTCAGTGTACGAATCCACGCGTTTACAACGGTGAAGAACAATAAACGCGTTTGAATACGTTTGAAAATAACGCGCTTTGAAATAACGTTTTTTCAGCATCTGACGCAGCTGAGTGCGTTATATTATAACGCTAAGCAACGCTTTCTAAGTTTGATGCATTAAAACGCATTCAAGGTAGAAACAAACGCGTTTAACCGCAGTAAAATTCAATTTCTCAACTTTAAGTCTAGATCATTACATCTTCTCGCAAATTTTGTTTCCTTAACGCCTTATTGCTACGCGAAAATGTTAGCGACACAGAAGTGAAAGTAAAATCTAATTTGAATGTGCATCTCTAAACTATCGCTGTAAAAAAAACATCAACCTGATATCGTCTTATCTTAAAAGTATACAGCGTGAAGAAGAATACGTAGACTATTACGAACGTTCTGTTCCTATATGTACCGCGTTCAGTCGTTCAGTTCCCTCCAGGAAAAAACGAAACGAAACCTTAGACAATATGCTAACTATAGACAAGGTCCGATATAGACCTAAATGCCTACGAAAAAGCTTGCTTCCACCTCTAATAGATCGAGAAGCAAACATCATCGCTTTCACGTTGTTTGAAAATGAATGAATTACATTGGTGTGTCGCAGTTCATCTTTCGACCGTCTGTTAGCTCAGCCGGTTGATGTGTTTGCTTCTTAATTCTAGGTATACACGTTCGATCCCTCACTACGGCAAGTAAGTAATTTCACATTCTTTCTCTCTTAACCTATCACAAATGCCTTTGCCAGAGTTTCCGAACTCTTTGAACGGCTGCAGATCGAAACTGCATTTAAATATTCCATTCTTTTTAAATTTTAATTTTCTAACGCGTTTTAACGCGTTTGCTACAAAATGAGACCAAGCCGGCTTCTCCAGGATCTCAAATGAATGAGATATAGAGGTTTTAAGTTTTATAGCATAAAATGGCGCTTTCTCCAGCGGAAATTTAGTGAAAGTCTGCCGTTATTTAAGCTATTAAAATTGAATCTTTTATAACTCAGCGATATGACATCCTGTGACGGCCGGCTTGGTCTCATTTTTTGGCAAATTTAACGCTCTTTAAGAGCAACTACTGTAAAAAATTTACAAAAAGTTTAAGAAGTTGAAAAACTAAATTTTACAAAATGGTGACACTTCAAAAAAGTTTAATTGTGTTGAATGAGGAATTAAAATCGAGTGTCGCTAAGCGAAAAACACACCATTGTGTTCAGTTTTTGACGCTCTTTTTTTTGGTGTACAATACATTAAGATTGAAGTTAATTTGAGGAAGTAAATAACTTCTTTCATGATTTTTTCGGTGTTATACACTAAAAGCGGGTTTTGGTCATCAAGATCCACTCAAAACCTAAAAATCTTTTTAGCGATCGATGGGAAATTAAATTCTACATTGAAATATATGTCTTTGATTTTTTTAGAGAAAATCTCTTGGTTAGGAAATGCGAAATACTGGATAACTCGGTTTTTCGAATTTTTCGAAAAATTGAGTTTTTGCTATAACTCTGTCAAATTAAGTCGAAACTCGACCATTTTTTTTAGCAATCATTGCACTTATCGTCAGCTTCTTTTTGGTAGAGAACCTAGCTGGCCGGTGTAACTAGTAACTAGCCGGTGACCACGTTTTCTTAGTATTTTTCAACTGAGTTCTGTGGTACCAGTGTCTAGAAAAGTAACTCTTGAAAAGCTCTGACCAAACAGACCCTATATATGATTGGCTCAATCCTTTATAGGTCAAATACGAGCCCAGGGACATCTAAAAGTCAACACAAGTGATGTTTAAGCCATTTTACTCCCATAAATAAGAGAGGTTCCCGCTAGTCTTTAGTATAGAAAAATAGCTACTGAAAAGCTCTACAATATTTGTTAATAGGAAACTTAACGAAGCCTGGCAGCAGGCTTTATGAGTTTAATATTAAACGTTTTCATAGGTCGTGGCTGTGCCAAGGGAACTCTTGATCACTTTTTTCTATGAAACTAAAGAGTCGATCGTACTTTTATGTGTCACGTTGCCCCTCTTCAACAACTCTATACTAAAGAAAACGAAAGAGAAATCCACATGTTCAAATACTGCGTACGTTGACTAAGAGGAAAAGACTAAATACCACAATCGTCGATATCCTTATACTAATACTGAACTGAATATATTCTTATTCTTAGTTTTTCTTTAGTATAGAATTGTTGAAGAGGGGCAACGTGACATATAAAAAAGATGTGAAAACAGAAAAAAACATGCGCATATATGAAAGTAATACCAAAAGTTGAATAACTGCAGAGAGCGAGTTAAGGGATGTGAATAGAAATACGTGTACTTATTTTGAGCTCTGACTAATTCTGAGATGTATTGCATCGTGTTCCCGAAGAGAAAACCGGGTAAAACATGGTACAATCAGAATCCTAACTGTCATAAGAAAAGTTCATTGAAAAAGTTCATTAAACGTTCATTAAAAGTTCATCTCGAAGAAAAATCATGGGCAAAAATCAAACGGTAACGCACAGAGATTCCGGTAGCAGAGTTACGCGTTTTTCATGTTCACTTTTTGATTTTTTCAAGTAGAGTTCCTCGGACCTTATCAATAAATTATACTGTCCTATATAGAATTTTGTGCTCAATCCGAATTTCATGCGTTTAGTCAAAGGAAACGCACACCTTCAGAGATATCCTCATT